CACATATTGTAACACTACATTCTTCACACTAATACACAACATACTCAGCAAACTGGGGAAAAAAAGTTTCAGCAGACATGCATACAAACTGGCCTCTGGACAGAAACACATAACTGCTCTATAAAAATACTTTTGAAACTCAGTTTATTATTGTATTTAGAACAAGCTTTGTATTCTAGAGTTATGTAAAACATACTTTAACAATARAGGTTTCGTTTGGATCGCTATTTGTGAGACTCTGCACTTTTTTCTTGCAATGTTCCGATGTTTGCAAAAAAAACTTTAGAGTAAATTTATGTGAAAAATGCACACTTCAGCATGTTTATCTTCCATAGTGCTTTGGGACTCTAATACATCACATTAATAAATTACRTTATACTACAAGGATCATCCTGGTATCACAAGTGCTTCCAGAGAAATGGCTTGATTAGCAAGRCCCTTGCATAATTGCAAGACACCTGGAAAAAGGGTCTGAATCTTATTTTTAGCTAATTCTAATGATGATTTCATGACATCATTTGAAAGCGAAAACCTCAGCATATTTAGATACTGAGATTACCCAGTTGGTACTGAAAGGAGTTTTTCTAGTGTTCAGGAAATGTAGCAAACATTTAAGGCTTTTCTGCTCAAAGTCATCATAGAAAAGTGCCTTAAAGCATTCTTTGGGAATATATTTTGCACAATTCCTTTAAAAGACACTAGATTAGGTTTTTATTCGTCATAGTTTGGCAAAATGCAATTATAGCTGCTTTTTCTTTACCAATCCATTACAGTTGCCTATTACCTCACTTGCAACCTAATCTTTAGTGTGATGTGACAAGTCACACGTTTTTCTTTTCCTACACATATCTTAGCAGAGATTTATCAGCCAACAGAAAATCTTGTTCAGTATGGTAAATGATACCCCTCCAACACGCACGCACACACACACACCCCTAAAAAAACAAGATGAAATTCAACACAACTTGGTTTAACACATCATTGCAGAAATTCCAGATTTACGTCTGTCTGAGTTGTTTTAAGGCCAAGCTAGGCTGGTTTCAATTCTTATCCCTGCTGAGGGTCATCTACTGTTCTCAGACCATTTCAACCTCCCGCTGCCTTTTTCTTCAACAAGCCGACCGCACGGCTCAGCTCGGAAATCTTGACGTAAACACAAAGATTAAGCCGATGATGGGTCGGYTAATGTGAGCTAGCAGGATGTATGGACCGCACACAAATGTATTTCTTACTTACGCCAGGGTATGACGGCACGGCCACGTTGACTCTTGTTCTCTTTTATGCATTCTTTAGAGAGCATTACGTTGGGATGACACTGTTTGTAAGAAGTGTTTAGCTGGATTAAGATGGTGTTTATGTCTGTTCAGTGTACACCACGATTTATGAGCAAAATGTGTGTGTATTAGTTACAGAAGGCCAATGGCAGGATTTAAAGTGAAGATTTTATGGCTACAGCAGGCTTCAGTCATCATCAAACGCTCCACTCAGGCGTACACATTTACAACATGTGAGCTTACTTTGACCCCATAGGGATTTAGTAYCAGGAGTTCCTTCCATCTCAAAGTAAGACGCCATCCTGAAGTAAAAGTGAAGTCTGGAAAGTGTCATTGATGGAAATGATTTGTCTTTTGTGGCCGTGCTGCAGCAAACCATATGTAGTTTCTGTACTCCGGTTTAGAAAGATGATGTGCAGAAAGTTGGGTCAGATGGCAGAAGTGAGAAGTGATTTTTTTTTCTCCAGGCTGGACACAGAAGTTATTAGGGGTATTCTAATACCAGTTTTTCTAAAGTCAAGTGTGAGTACTTCAGTTTGGGTAYTCACCGATAAGTACCGATAACGAGTACTTAGTACTTTAATGGAAAAATGATTTTTGTTCTATTCATGACATACTTTATTGACAGTTTTTCATGGCACCATGTTTATCGGTAGATAGAATGATTATAGCCAGAACAAGCTTTGCTAACAGCAATCACTCTTAGATATCACTTATATTTATCTGTGTTTTCTCTTGACCCAGCAAGGTCCTTGCTTTATTAAAGGGATCCCCGATTAGTTGTAACATTAGACTTTATATGATAAACATACTGTATACTTTAACTGTAAATTAAAGACTGGAAAAATATCACCATATACGTATGTATTAGCTCAGTGCTACACATTTTACTCTCATCACTGAGGTCCTCTGTCGTGGCAAGAATGGTCAGAACCACGGCGAAAAGGGTGTTTAAAAGACAAGTCTTGCGGG